CAGGGAAGGCCGCGGGGAGGGGGGCACGGCGGAGGGCAGAGGTGCGCGCCGGCAGAGCTGCCGCGGCCTCGCCGCTCCGTCCTGCACGGGCCTCACGGCTCCCCCTCGAATCTTCCGTGACCCCGGGTCTCTGGGCCGCAGTGTCTTACCGTTCTCCGTGTCGTGGCTCTTCAGACCCCCCTCTTCCAGGCGCGTAGATAGACGAGTCCGTCGTCAACTCCCCCCTTCAGCGTAGGGCACACTACTGCCCCGGGCGGGGGCCGCGGTGGGCGGGGCTGGAAAGTGACGGGTGGATGGGAGAAAGGGACAGAGATGCGCGGGTAGGACTTTGAACTCAGGGGACCCAAGCAAATACCATCGTCGAAGTTCTAGTCAAGTGCCGTTCAAGTATGTGTGAAGAAAAGTTACTTTCATGTGTCAAGGTATCGACATAACTTTAAATACAGAAACTTATGTTTCATATATTTCTTCAAAGATAGTTCTCCCCTTCCCCTCAATATGGTACATTCCTCGCACGCCCAAGGGGATCCTCTTGGAACCCCGCCACTTAAGTTTAGGTTCCGCCCCTTTCTCAAACTCTTTGCTGGACTTTTATCGAAAGCATTCTTTTTGTAGCTTTTGTTGTGGTTCATGAGATACTTTCACTTGCATGTAACCTTCACAATAGCCAGGAGAGGAGAAACAGGAATTGTTTTCTCATCTTGCAGCCTAGGAACATCTGACCCAGGTTTTTATGGTTGGTTAGAAACACCGGCTGGGACTTGAACTCAAGGCTACCGACATATGATCACTGTCAATTTTCCACAGCATCATAATAAGCACCTGCGGTGGTTACCTTTACAAACAGAAAGAAGACTGGGTTGTCAATCTACACGTAAGCATTCTTGAAGTGGCAGGAGGAATGGATTCCACAGATCTTGGAAACGTCTGGACCAAATTGGCGCTTGTTATACACCGTCAGTGCCTCAGACAAGCGATCTGTGTCCTTGCTACTTCGAGGGTGGTAGATGGACCTCCAACATTGACATTATCTGGTGTCCAGTTAGAAATGTAGAATCTCAGGTCCCGCTCGAGATTTCCTAAATCAGTACCTGTAGTTTAACGTGACCCCTAGGTTATTCCTTTGAAAGTTTGAGATGCGCTAATTGAAATAAAGTCTGTGCTTTTTCTATCTGAATTCATCATTCTAAGTAACTGTGACTAAAATATCTTGCATCCTGGATTCTACCCTTCTTTTCAACAAAAGTGATTCTTTTAAAGTGATTCAGTAAAAGTCTTTAAAATCACTAGCACTTTTCTTGTGTGTTCTTTTCAACTCTGAGTTATCTCCCTTATGTGGCATTTCACACTGTTCACTTGCTACACTTAAAACTCTCCTCATTTGTTGACTTTAAAAAAAATCAAGGTAGAATTTACAGAAGTAACATTTTTTCATTTTATTTTAAAGATGTGGGGTAAAGTCAGGATTAGGTACATAACTTGTCTACATACAGATGAAGTTAGGGCCCCCTGCTGACCCTCATTTCCCCTGGTTTAAGATCAGGTACCCTTAGAGATGCTATGTGCCCCCCTAAATGTTTCCATTTTAAAAGTACAGTTCAATGAGTTTTGACAAATGTTTATACTTGAGTAACCACTGTCCCAATCAAGACATAGAATATTTCCACCACCCCAACATTTCATTCTGTTCCTTCCAAGTCAAGCTCCTCCAACATGGGATCAAATATCAGTAAATTTTAGTTTTTACATGTTCTGGAATTTATATACATGAAATTAAGCAGCATGTGCTATTTTAATTCAGCATGTTTTTGAGGTTCATAGCGATGTTTTGCAGCAGTGGTTCCTTTTTACTGCTTGTAAGTCCGTTTGTATTGTTACAAAGGAATACCAGAGGTTGGGCAATTTATGTAGAAAATAAGTTTATTTAGCTCATGGTTCTTCAGGCTGTCCAAGAAATGGCAACAGCATCTGCTTCTAGTGAGGGTCTCAGGCTGATTCCACTCAAGATGGAGGGTGGAGGTGTAGAGGAGAGGAAGCATGTGCAAAGATCACATGACTAGACAGGAAGCAAAGAAGAGAGAGGAAAAGAGAGAGGGAAAGGGATAGCAGGTGCAGGTTTTTTTTTTTTTTTTTTAACAATCAGTTTTCATGGGAACTGGGAGTGAGAGCTCACTCACTCCAGAAAGAATGATACCAAGCCATTCATCAAGGACCCACTGCCAAGGTCCAAACAAACACCCTGCATCAGGCTTTACCTCCAACATTGGCGATTAAATTTAACATGAGACTTGGTGGGGCCAAACGAACAATATCCAGACCATAGCAGTACTCAATAGTAAACTTCAATTTGTTTATTCATTTACTTGTTGATGAACACTTGAGTTGTTTCTAGTTTGGGACTAGAAGTGCTATGAATAATCATGTGCACGTCTTTTTGTATACTTATATTTTATTTCTTGTGGGTAAGTACTTAAAAGTTAGATTGTTAGGTTATGTGGCAAGTTTATATTTAATTGTAAAAGAAACTGCCAAACTACTTTCCAAAGTGGCTATACCATGTTATACATTTAGGATTTTAATGTCTTTCTGATGAATTAGCCCCTTTATAAATTAAACAAATGTCTGATAATATTTCTTCTCCTGAAATCACCTTTCTTTAATATTAATATAGATATTCCTGCTTTCTTATGATTAGTGTTTGCATGTAAATCTTTCCCTCTCTTTTATGTCTACCCCGTTTGTCTTTATATTAATGTGTGTTTGTGTTTTTGTAGACAACATAGCTATATCTTGCTTTTTAATTCAGTTTGACAATCTTTCTTCTAATTGGTATTTAACCCACTTACATTTAATGCAATTATTGATGTTGCTGGAGTTAAGTATACCATCTTACTATTTGTTTTCTATTTGTCCTATACATTCTTGTTCCTTTCCCTTTATCCATACCTCCTTTAGATTAGTTAAAGTTTTTTGTTTGTTTGTTTAAATTTTGTCTGCTTAGGCCTCCACCACCAACCACTGGGGAGAAGAGAACCTATTCAGTAAATGGTGCTGGGAAAACTGACTGACCACATGCAGAAGATTAAAGCAAGAACTGTACCTGTCACCATACACAAAAGTCAACTCTAAATGGATCAAAGGCCTAATCATAAAACCTCAAACTGTAAGAACCTTAGAAAATGCAGGAGACACCATTATGGAAATTAGAACTGGCAACCAATTCCTGATCAAAACCGCCAGTGCCCATGCCATAAAAGATAAGATAGACAAGTGGGACTTCATCAAACTGACAAGCTTCTACATATCCAAAGAAACCATCAAGAAAGCAGGGAGACAGCCCATGGACTAGGAAAAAATATTTGCCAACTGTATATCTAACAAAGGCCTAACATCTAGGATCTACAGGGAACTCAAATGTGCCGAAAAGAAAAAGACAAACAGCCCCCTTTCAAAGTGGGCAAAAGATATGAGTAGACATTTCTCAAAAGAAGACATACGAGCAGCCAACAGATACGTGAAAAAATGCCCAACCTCACTAGTCATCAAATAAACGGAAATTGCTGGGCTTGGTGGCTCAGCCTGTAATCCCAGCGCTTTGGGAGGCCGAGGTGAGTAGATTGCCTGAGGCCACAGATTCGAGTCCCACCCGGGCCACTTGGCGAGACCTCATCTCTACAATAAATCAAAAAAAAAAAAATTATCTGGGCGTGGTAGCACGCGCCTGTAGTTCCAGTTACTTGGATGGCTGAGGAGGAAGGATCACTGGAGCCCAGCAGGTTGAGGCTACGGTGGCTGGGAGTGTGCCACTGCACTCCAGTCTAGGCAATGGAGTGAGACTCCAACTAAAAAAAAAAGAAAAAAAAAAAAAGAAAAGAAAAAGAAAAGAAATGCAAATTAAAACCACACTGAGACACCACCTGACTCCAATCAGGATGGTCATCATCAATAACTCAAAAAACAACAGATGCTGGAGAGGATGCAGGGAAAAGGGAACACATCTACACTGCTGGTGGGAGTGTAAACTAGTATATCCTCTGTGGAAAGCTGTTTGGCGATTCCTAAAAGATCTAAAAATTGACCTTTCATACCCTGCAATCCCCTTACTGGGAATAGAGAAGAACTCAAACC